CGACGTGTCTCTTTGCCGACGTGTCAAAAGGGCGAAGTGCTAAAAGTCGAAATGCAATTTGCCGACATGCCTTTTTGCCGACGTGCAATAAGTCGAAAATGTCAATTTGCCGAAAAGTCAATTAGTCGAAATGTCAATTCGCCGAAATGCTAATTAGTCGAAATGTAAATTTGCCGAAATGTCAATTTGCCGAAAAGTCAATTAGTCGAAATGTCAATTCGCCGAAATGCTAATTTGCCGAAATGCTAATTAGTCGAAATGTAAATTTGCCGAAGTGTCAATTAGTCGAAATGTCAATTTACCGAACAGTCAATTAGTCGAAATATCAATTTGCCGAAATGCCAATTAGCCGAAATTAACCTAACCTAACCTAGCTTAACCTGACCCGTAAGTATTAACTTTAGGACCGATTCGCTTTTCAAAGGTAAAGAAACCCACTTACATGTCACCAAAGTATAAGAAAAACATAACCAAACCTTACCTAGCCTGACCTACTGATTTTTTCCTGCCCGTGGATAAGGAAGAAGATTCTCACATGAATAGATTGCAGACAATGACAAGTCAATTATTTTTAGGTCAATTGTGCATCAGGCTTCAGGCCTTCGGCCTGAAGCCAGATACACAACAATTTAACCCTCACCGGACCTATTGGTTTTCTACATACGAGTACGCGCCGGCCGAGGTGGTAATTGCTGAAAGGCGATTTGCCGAATGTCATTTTGCCGAATGTCATTTTGCCGATATGCTTTTTGCCGACGTGTCAAAAAGTCGAAATGCCATTTGCCGACATGCCTTTTTGCCAAAATGCCAATGCATTTTCACAGCCCAAGGTTGGGAAGAGATTTACCACATGCCGTACCGGCGCAACAGTATATCATATTCATTTGATATATATTATTATATTCTTAATATTGTGTTAATATTATATTAATACTATGATCATATTTATAGTCACCGTGATTATTTTTGTTTTTCATTATTGGGCTGCGTTGAGTATGAAAGATGAAATTTCCTACTTCCCCCTTATTTAGGGTTTGAAAAAGCTGAGGATGAAGATTGTGAAGCGTCAGAAGTTAGAATAAAGATATGGAGTCCACTTCCAGCAGGAGTGAGGAAACCGTGAGGAAAACTGAAAATTGGGTGAACCGCTTAATCAAACGCGTCTTGGATCCCAGCTGGAACAATATCAAATGTTTCATTGTGGCACGTTAAGATGCTTCACGCATTTAAATTGTTCGTTTTTTGCGTGCATTATGTAGAAATAATGATTATTCCGACCATGTTCTGCAGCAATAAATACATTGGCATTGGAACGATAACCTTGTTTAGTTGAATTACGTTGACAGCAAAAGTATGTAAACACGCAGTCGCTTACTTTTGCTGTTGCTGTTAGTGAACACACAATCCGTAAATATCTTCTTTGAAATTGGTTCTTCCGCTCAGAATATTCAGTAAAACTTTGTCTGGGAAAATCAAAAAGCCCTAGGGCCGAATCGTTTCCCAAATACCTTCAACATTAGCCGAGGCGGGCCGAAGTCATTTCCCAAATGCACGTGCTAATGTTAACCCTCGCCCCGTTGGGGGGGGCATTTTGGCCCCCCCCCCTGTGGTTTTTCCTGAATAGCAAGAAAACGGCGGCGCGCAGCGCCGCCAAATTTTCAGTACCTTCCCGGGCATCAATTTGACACCTTCACACCAAATTTCAAGTCTTAGGTCACCTTAGGTCAGGAGTTATTGAGGTCAAACTGAGGTCATGTTCGAGCAAAAATGAGCAAAAAACATGCAATCTTGAAACGCTCACCAAATCTACAGTTTTCAAGCAATTTCAAAGTTCTTTATATGGTCTAGTAGACAAAAAGCGGCGCTACAAAACTGCTATCTCGGATTTTCAAAATTTTTGGTTTTTGACCAAAAAAAATTCAAAAAATTGATTTTTTAGAAAAACTTTGAAAAAATCCAAAATTCTCCCGAATTTCGAAAAAACCGGAATATATGTGATAGTCCCAGTGCTCTTCTATATACATACCAAATTTCAGATCGATATCTCGTTTTTTGGCCAAGTTATAGCGAAAAAACTGTTCAAAAATGATGACGTCAAATTTTTGAAATCAATTTTTAGCAATTCTAGACCACGTACGGCAAAACAAAGACCACCATTGAACTCCCCGTGACAAGCTGCATCGATTTGATACCCATTTTATGCAAAAATATTAACTTTGAAATTTGACCTAATTTGACCTGACCTTGACCTGACCTTGACCTGACCTTGACCTGACCTTGACCAAAACGTGATCTAAGCTGGCCCCAAAGGCTGCCTGACCCATATAATCGCATTTGTCATGTAAAATGGACCATAAAACATGTATCACACGACACTTTTATATTGTGACCCCCCGTGACCTGACCTCTGTGACCTGACCTGGTATCAGTGACCTCAAATAGCAAAATATGTGTTTGAAGAACATTTCCCCATCGATGATTTTCAATGAAATGCATTTTACTCGATTTTACAACGCATTTCTTGAAGTGCCTGTAAACGGTGAAAATTGGACCTTTGACCTGACCTGTGACGTCATCGGTTTGACCTAGGTCAATAAAATTGGGTCACAAGGTAGTTCCCCGTTGGGGCTATCCAACGCCGTTTACCGCTTGTCGCTATGTTGCGTGGTTCTCGAGATCTTAGGGGGGGGGGCAAAATGGCCCCCCCCCCAACCGGGCGCGTTGCTCGGCAGAGCCCAACGGGGCGCGGGTTAAAGGGATATCTCGGCATGTGGTAAAGTCATAAGTTACATTGAAATACATGTTCGACAGCATGACGTCACCGCTGTTCTCATATCTGGTTCCAAAACGCCCATATGGAAATTATCGGGAAGAAATCACATGTTAAAATTAGTCGACGTTCGATTTTCTCAGGTTCAGTTTTTGCTCGTTTTGCTCGCTAAAACACGTGCTTGTTCGAAAAACATACTTGGAGCCAGCGTCCTTTTGAAAAAAGAACTATATGTCGTTTCGCCCCTGGTGGAGCTGGCGCGTCGCGGAAAAAACGAGCGTGTGCGCCGTTACGAGACGCAGAGATTGGTACCCGATTTTAAGGTCCTACGTCAACCGGTGACCTCTGAGGTCAGGTCAAGTGCCCCAGGGTACGGTTCAGTTTTTGGTGAATAACTTCGCAAAAAACGGCTGCAGAGCCGCGATTTTGGCAGCATCGTGTTCGCCTTGCTCAGGCGCGTCGAATGCTATACTTTTTGTTCTGGTCAGGTCAACTTGGGGTGTTGACCTCAGGTCAAGGTCAGGTCAGCACCCTAAGGTCACGAAGTAGGTCGAAAGAGGTCATGTCGCATATCATTCGATTCGGCAGGTCTTCCTGAGTCCATTGGTGGCTTTCCCGACTCGCTAGCTCAATTTGATCAAGAGTTATTGACGAAAAACGAATATGACCTTGATGACGTCATAAATGACGTCACGCAAGGTCAACATTGCAAAAGTTACGCATCTAACCTTGCAAGGAAGGCGTCAAATCACGATTCTGTGTGCTTGAGATAGTTAGAGGTCGTTCCCGGCGCCAGAATAGCAGTTTTCATTTTCTTATTGACTTAAAATGGTGAGGTCACGGAAATGACCTGACCTCAAATAGCCTTTAGGAAAATCTGAGACATACAAGCTGTGAGACTCGTAATGCATATTAGGTCCTGCATGTTTCATTTCCCTGTGAAAGCTCCTCTGGCCGTGAGGGCGTTGCGAAGTTGCGACATCTGAAGACCGTGCAGAGGTTCACTTATGACGTCATAGGTCGGTGACCTGACCTGACTTGAAGATGCGGTTGGTGTAAAAGGATCTGGCTTGAATCAAAGGTCAGCTATGCCACGTTTCAGCTCTCTATCGCCAGCGTGTTCGGAGCTATCACGAAAAAAACCGGCACCCGCACCCCCCTCGGCCGGCGAGGGTTAACCTAAAAATATTTGACTTACCTTTGCCTGTAATCTCTCCTAAGGCATTGCCTTCGGCACTGCACTGCTTCGCCACGAGCAATTTGATGTTTATTTCCACATGGTATTGGTGCTTTTAAACTTGCTTGTGCCATGAATAATTATTAGTTATGAAATCAGGAGGTCAAAGGATACCTATCATGTGATTTGCTTCTTACTTGGGGATTGCACCAAAAGAAAATTGGTGATCTGTCCCAAGTAAATAAACACCACTTAACCTAACCTAACCTAACCTAGGTTTGCAGATTGACATTTCGGCAAAGTTATATTTCAACTCATTGACATTTCGGCAAACTGCCAATTCGGCAGATTGACATTTCGGCAAATTGACATTTCGGCAAATTGACATTTCGGCAAATTTACATTTCGACTAATTGACGTTTCGACTAATCGACATTTCGGCAAATCGCATTTCGGCAAATTGACATTTCGGCAAATGGCATTTCGACTTTTAGCATTTCGACTTTTTGACACGTCGGCAAAAAGCACATCGGCAAAATGACATTCGGCGAAATGCATTCGGCAAAATGACATTCGGTAAATCGCCTTTCGGCAATTTGTCCGGACACCATGTAAAACGGGACATTTGTAACACGTTTGGACTTGAAACAGACATGTATGCTAGTGAATTATGCCTATTATAAATTATTATTGCCTATATTGCCTATTATAAAAGGACCACGGCTAGCGTCTGTTGAGTTATGCACGAGCCAGGGTAATCTGCAGAACCTCGGTTGTTCCCCCCTGTCTACTAAGACATGTTCATAGCCTGTTTGGGTGTTTCCCCAGTCCCATGTGGCCCTTTCCTCGTGATCCGGTGATGGCGGTCAAAACTTGCCACGAAGAACGGCTCTTTTCTGTCGCGCCAGTTGTACTGCACTGCATAGCACCTGACAGTTGACACCAACTCATTTTTTCTTGCCATTTCGTCTTCTCTCACCGATTTCAGTCTATTGCCGACTCGTGACCTTGGACGACCTCCGTTACTGACCTGTGTGACCCCTGCTCTTCCAGGCGGAGCGGGGTCTGATTCCCCGGATCTGCTACCGCCTGTTTGACAAGATGGAACTGTCCAGCGATGTGCGCTACCGTACAGAAGTCAGCTACCTCGAGATCTACAACGAACAGGTGAGAACACTAGCTACCTCAAGATCTACAACCAACAGGTGAGAACATAGAGGCTAGCTACCTAGAGATATACACCGAGCCGTTGAGAACACCAGCTACAGAAAGGTCTACAACGAGCAGGTGAGAACGTAGACTTCAGCCACCTGGAGATCACTGCGAGAAGATAATAACACCGAGGTAAGCTATGCGGAGACCTACAGCAAGCAGGTGAGACAGAGAAAATGCTGGTAACATAGTGAGATGGTGTGAGAGACTGCTGTTGAGTAAGTGAGAAGAGGCGAGTGATCAGATGACCAACCATCACATGTTTTACTTGTGAGGTGATAGTATGACTTTAATGGCGGCGGCCTCGACAGTCGCCACTAGAGGGCCGTGTTGTCGGGTGTCGGGAGGAGGGTCCTACTTATGTACTCAGCTTATGTAACTCCGGCCGCGCCTGGCAGCCATGCAATGTCGGTGTCGCCCGCATGACAGCATCCTCCACTGCAGTGGATGCAGGACGGTTATGCAACACTGGAAGGGAAGCCTGCTGGCCAGTGAACATATACGGGTTAATGGGTACTGATCTATCGAAGGATTGGCTATACATGGTTAATCGAGTGATGGAATTGAAGTGGCTAATACGGACATCAAGGCACTTGAAGTACAAAAGACTACCCCAGTTATACAGCTATTCATTTCCAATGTAATGTATGTTTTGCATTACAATATAATTTAGTGACCCTATGGATGGCTTGTCATTCTTGTACTTGTTTTGCTCTGTACTTACGAACAAACATTATAACATTGATATTTGCGAAGACTGTTTCGACTTCTTGAGTTGCTACGCAAAAGGTTTACGTTATTATATTTACATATCTAGGCGCCGCATCCCCGCCGCTTCCCCTTCAGCGTTTAAGCGCGTGATGCTATACCAACGTGTGTTGCCATGTCTCAACGTCAGTCGCCATGTCTCACCGAATGTATTCGCGTCTCTTCTCTCCATTGTCGTGTGGTGACCTGTCTCGTCGATTGATGCGTTTGTTTGTGCCTTGCCGTTTCTCGACTTGTCTCACCGTTTGGCTTTGCCTCACCGCCCGTATGTTCCGCTGCCACAGGTGAAGGACCTGCTACAGAAGCAGCAGAGTCACTCGCTGAGGGTGCGCGAGCACCCTCAGACTGGTCCTTACGTGGAGCAGCTCTCCAGGCACCTGGTCTCATCCTACTCGGATATATCGGTCAGTAAGCTGAGGGGCGGTCGGGGTCTGTCAGGGGTCCCACCAGGAACGGTTCTGGGTCCCACAGTTTGGGAATGTCATCGTGAGAAAGCGTCGTTTTACTGTTAGTTAACTGTGAGTGTGAATAGCTTTCTTCTCAATTTTGACGGAATGAATATCAGACGCTGGAGTGGTTTAAGCGATTCTGGAAATGTCTGCTACATTTTACCGTTTTTCTACCCTCGTTGAGCAGCATCAACGAATGCACTGTGACTACCAACGTTCAGCGCTGATACCCAGAGAGATCGCACCCAATCTTTCTCGCGAAACAATGCCAGTTGCCTCCCTGCTGGCCGCCAATCATCAATCATCTACAACCTCTAAATGCTAGGCATAAGCTCGATCTCAACTCCACAAAAACTGACAATGGTCGGATTCCAAGTTGGAACGGGATTCCGCTTGTGATATCCTATAGTAATTAGGTCGACGAACTGACGGCAGCCGGGCATAAGAGCAGACGAGAATAGACGGATGCTCGAAAGGACAGGCAGACAGACGCAGTTAAGTCACTGACAGGACGGCTGGGCTCGTTTTTCGCTGGTTATGCAAGCGAATCGTCGATATGTTTGGGTATATCGTCCCCGGCTGAGTATCTGGTATCGTTTGTGCCAAATACCGGCTGGCTCTGATGCGGCCGACGGTGGTCTGGTCTTGATGCTCAGACCGCGACTGACTCTGACTGAATCCCCGGCTAAACCGTTGACGTATTCCTCTGACTCTCATCCATATCCCGACTCAACTTGGTATTCCGGTCACAACTCCTGTTTTGTAACAGCTTCATGCTAGCACCCATTGCGGCTTGAACTACGGTCTGATAGTCTGACCATGAATATAAGTCTGCTCTTGACTCCACTCCCACTGCTACCTCCAAATGAAGCTCAAGCTCCAACTCCGAATATGACTCCTACTCTGACTCTGCCTGACTCCGAGGCTGACTGCAGTCCTCCTCTTAAGGACACTGAGACTGAGGAGCGAGTATCGCTCGATCGGTGATCGTCAGCCTTGTTTACCTCCGAATTTAGAGATATGTCGATAGGCGGCTATGAATAGGACACGATAGTCACCGGCGGCGTACTAAGCGGATATTCAGAGTCATCTCGATAGAAACACGAAGACAAATAAGAAGGTCCGCTTTCGATATGTGAAATCAGAAATAGACGGCGGTGGATTGGATGGAGCAAGGTTCAAACGTTTTTTTTTTTTTTTTTTGCGAAATGGCTAGAATTTTGACACACAAGTTATTTAATTCAGCGAAGCATTCCGGCGTATTTCATTTGTATTGTTGATTTGATTTTTGATTTTTGATGTTGATTGATTTGTATTAGGGGAGAGTGGGGCAAAGCGGCCACCCTAACGCTTCTCACGATGCCAACGCTTAATTTTTAAACTTGGAAAGATTCTTTCTATACCAATGTGATCCCTATTAAGTTGCCTTTTATTTCAACTGCGTTTTATTTCCAAAGGCGTTCACATATGGAAGATATTGACAAAACTTTAAACCTATGCATATTGGCCACTTTGCCCCATACCCTGGGGCAAAGCGGCCACCGGCGTCTTCCTAAGTCCCGATATGAGAAACAACATAGTTGCCTCGTGTACGACTAGGGTATTTGATGGTGACAAGGTTTAAGCGAGGATGGATGTTTACTTCATCATCTTCCACCTGTAGGTAAACAAAGAAAGGATTTTCATGAAAAAACATTTAATTGCATTATTTGGTAACTCATGCAACTGAAAAGTGGCCAAGATGAATGCATGACGACACATTTGAATATAAATAATGTTTTTTATCCAGATAGAAACAACTTATGGCCAATAGGGGGGTGGCCACTTTGCCCCGGCCGCTTTGCCCCGCGCATACCGTCCGAGACAAAAATATTCCAGCTTAGCTTTTAGTGGGGTAAAAAACATCAAAATTGGTAGAATGCATGTACGATAACCATGCAATGCTTGGACAAGAGCGCTTATAAAAATTCCAAACGGTTACGGAATAACAAAACATTTAAAAATTATAAACATAGTTGGTAACCTGGCAAGAAATGCTTTTCTGTGTTTCACAGAACAATGGTGATGGGCCTGAAACCCCGGTCTGGCTCATTCGAACGACCGTGAAGAGAAGTATAATTGGGAACCATAAATTGGAACTGACGCCAGCTATGAAGAGCTAAAACGATGGGTGGCCGCTTTGCCCCGGGTGGCCGCTTTGCCCCACTCTCCCCTACATTTCATATGTTGAGTCTCGTCTCCAAGCTGGCTACAAGTGTCTATGTCTCTTGATATACCTACGTTTCCTGTTAATTTCAACGATTTATTTAACCCTCGCCAGGCGAGGGCCTTTTCCATAACACGGACGGCCGGGGGGGGGGGGGTTGGTACGACCCCCCTGGCGATTGGCTCCTATGGCACTTAGAAACGCCAAATTTACAGGGTAGGTGGGTCCATAAGAGATTTCGCCCTGTGAAAGTTTAATGACTCTAAGTCAATATTTGAGGGGGGGGGGGGTATGAGTGCAAAATTTTTTGCTAAAACATGTCTAAAAGTTTTTCGCTTATAACTTTTTGCCTAGTAAAGATAGAGCAAAAATAAAAGCACCAGTGAACTCAGGACGTCCGTGCGCATCGAATGATGTACTTTGTTACTAATTAATTAACCCTCGCTGGCACAGGCCATTTTGCGTCCTTCAACGGCACAAGGGGGGGGGGGTTGGTACGACCCCCCTTGCGTTTGGCCCCTGATCGAGCTAGAGCTTCGCGGAAAAAACGAGCGTGTTGCCCGTCACGAGAAGAAGCCGATGATACCCAATTTTAAGGTCCTAGGTCATCGGGTGACCTTCCAGGTCAGGTCAATAACCCGAAAACCGGGGAAATCGGGACCTGTTAGAAAGTCGTAAAGTGTGGCTGCTGTATGGTTTTCCGGGGTGCTGATCACGAATATCGTGTTAGTTTTGATCAGAGATGATGTCTTTATGCATTTAGACCAGGTCGGGTCAGGTCAGGTCAGGTCAACCGGTAGGGGTTGTGACGGGTATTCGTAATACGTGTCAAGCGCCTCTGACAGCTTCGTAACATGTTACGAAGGCACCAAAATACTTCGTAAATGGTTGCTAAATTCGAATTCAGCTCCAAAAACTAGCCTAGAACCATGTAAAACTCGAAAAAGTGAACCGAGATCACGCGAGGTCACCAAGGGTCAATGACCTGACCTGACCTTCAGGTGACCTTGACACCCACCCTAATGTATGGGAGCAACATCAAATCACATGTTTGAACGTTTGAAACCACGAAAAGCTTGCAAACGCGCGGCTAATGCGAGCCGACATACGCCGAATCGCGATTCCGGCCAAACATGGTCTCGGAAAAGAGGTCACAGGTCAAAGGTCATTTGGGTCAGGGTCATGAAATTTTCATGGTAGGTGTAAAATTGATCAATGCGAGGGTACTGAAAGTTTCGTCGCGATCGGCCGCTTTTTACGCGAGTTATTCGCGAAAAACCTTGGGGGGGGGGGGGTGCATCAACCCCCTGTGCCGGTGAGGGTTAAAGTGAACTCTGGAATTCAGTTGCCGCTAAGCTAGTCCAATTTTCCCCTGACCTTGTACCGGTTTTTGTGACCTGGTGACCTGACCTAAAAGACTGGGACTTCAAATTTTCAGGATAGGTGTGAGAAGGCTGCCCCAGAGGGTTTGCCAAATTTGGCGGCGCTACGCGCCGCCGTTTTTACGTTATTTGCGAAAAACTTTAGGGGGATCAACCCCCCCTCGTCGGGCGAGGGTTAAGGTTACCGTCACATGGATAATATGACGTCTTACATGCTTTATTCAGGAGACTGATAGCATTTGGTGGTGTGAGAGAAGATTGTTCGACCCACACAAATGTTCTGCCCCTTTCCGGATGTAGCAATGGTTCTGTAACGTTCTCGTTCACCCCTCTGGGTGTGTATTTGTGAGAACTTGCTGTGCTCACCCGTGTTGTGTTAATCAATATTGGTGACTGATGTATGTGGTGTTGCGAAGTGTCTAGGCTGTGCGGTTACACGTTGTTTATGATGCTTTCACGTTTTGCTACGTTGACTGTATCGAGGGTTACTTTATTCCAGCCATTGGACTACTGGCTGAAGTTGGCAGTTTCGGAACAGGATGCGACTTCATTACGAAAATGAACAGATCCAATAACCAATAACCATGACAGTGACTGTGACTCTTAGAAGCTGTGTAATTGTGTTATAGCGAAGTAGTGATGCGTAGTAATTGTTTAGCATTACACTTGTATTTTGTGACTGTGTCTCCCAGAAGCTGTACATATTCTGTAACTGTATCTCGCATAAGCTGTATCGTGTAACTGTGACTATCTGTCAGATATTTTCGTTGTGTCGCTGTATTCTCTGTTCTAGATGACGTTGCTGTACAACTCCGATTGTCTTCAGAGGGCTGAAGCTGTGTAACTAACCGAATCTCTATCTTCCAGGAGCTGATTGAGCGCGGTAACACCCACCGAACCACGGCCAGTACGGGGATGAACGACACCAGCTCACGGAGTCACGCCATCTTTACCATCGGCTTCACACAGGCGGCGCTGGTGGAGGGCCTGCCCAGCGAGCGTACATCCAAAATCCATCTGGTCGACCTGGCCGGCAGGTAGGAGCGCGCCGGTTCGGGGAGGGGTGGTCTGGTGTGGTTGTGAGGGAATGGGGGGGGGGGGAGCGTGTCTATGTGTAAGGGGGTGATGGGAGGTGGTAGAGGCTATCGGTGTTTTGTAATCAATTGATACGAAAGGCTGGTGGAATCATTCTTAGTGCGATCAACACGAGGAAAGGAAACGTTACCAACAGGATTTGAAATAAAGGCTTGTTACAAGCGAGCGAGCGCAGCGAGCGAAGTGAGTCTTTTCAATATAACGGAAAAATCTCAGTATGAGCGGCCCGGCCCGGCCCGGCCTGTAACGCTTTTGAGAGGCTTATATCTCAGCAACCGCTAGACCGATTGGCATGCGGTCTTTTTTGCTGGGTAGCCCCATCCCTTCTACCCCGTAATTGACTACTTTTGATACATCTCAGTGACCGTCGTGGCACGTGCCACGTGAAAAGCCAAGGGTGTTCCAGCTGTTTTGCAAAAGTAGTGATTTTGAAAGGCTCATATCTCAGCAGCCGCTTGGGCGATTGACTTGCGGTAATTTTTGTAGGGTAGCAGTATCCCTTCTACCAAAAATAGGATACTCTCGGTGCATGTGGGTCACCCCCATTGCACGTGCAAAATACAACAATAAGAGGTGTCAAATTTGTTCCCATTTCAGTAACTCGGTAATTACTGGTGCGATTTCGCTGAAACTTGGCATACAGGTAGGCACCCACCAGGCAATGCATTCCCATGTGTTGCGGTTAAGGTGCTACTGCACGTGCGCACGTGCAGGGGGCTCTTCCAGATCTCGAGAACGGCTGGGCCGATTGCGCTCAAATTTGGTACACGGTTGGGGACCATTTAGTCATTTAGTAGGGTGCCGTGCAAAAGTCAGTTTGGACCCCGTTTGCACGTGCGCACGTGCAGAATGCCGCTTCCAGATCGCAGGAACGGCTGGGCCGATTGCGTTCAAATTTGGTACACCGCTAGCGACCGGTTAGAAGGGTGCCTTGCACAAGTCCGTTGGAATTATGTACCCTCTCGCCCTTCCGCACGTGCAGGGCTCCTATCTCGCTCGCTCGTTCTTCGCCCAAAAGGCGTTTTACTGGTAGTATTATCCGTGCTTTGTATTTTTACACCTTTTGTATAGCTCAGACGGCTTATGCTCTTTTCATCTGATTATTGCAGAACATTAACCGTAACGTAGCTGTGTTACATACCAGTTACACCTCTTACATGATTGACCTGCTACACCCGCTATCACACCTCCCGCTGACCTCTCACCCTACCTCTCTCCTCCATCAGTGAACGTGCCAAGGCAACGGGCGCCACTGGCTGCCGTTTGCGGGAGGGCGCACACATCAACAAGTCTCTGGTGACACTCGGCTCTGTGATCTCGGCACTGGCGGAGGCCGGTCACCGTCACACCCCGGGCGGACGCACCCCGTTCGTGCCCTACCGAGACTCGACACTGACCTGGCTGCTCAAGGACAGTCTCGGTGGTAACGCCAAGACGGTTATGATTGCCGGTGAGTGAGTGAGGGAGGGGAAGGGGCAGTAATGGGCAATACTAGCCACGGCAATAATAGCCACGACTGATTGTGGACTGCCTGCAAATGTAATACATACATACATGCATACATACATACATACATACATACATACATATATATATATATATATATATATATATATATATATATATATATATATATATATATATATATATATATATATATATATATATATATATATATATATATATATATATATATATATATATATATATATATATATATATATATATATATATACATACATACATACATACATGCATACATACATACATACATACATACATACATACATACATACATACATACATACATACATACATACAAGGGTGGAGAGGTGTCTAGGCGAATGTCAGTGATCGGAGAGGGCGCTGAGGCTTATAGAGGCTAGTTCTTACTTCTGATGGTTGGTGAATGCTGCTCGATATTGACTACTTCATGCATTTTTGATGATTTGAAATTGAGCAAATATTATTGTTTTATATCACAGCGGTAATGTCTATCTTTGTCTCTTTTCATCCGTATATTCATCGATCCAACTGACGAGTCCGTTCCTCCTTCCCCCCCCCCCCTCAGCCATCTCCCCGGCCGACGTGAACTACGGTGAGACGCTCAGCACGCTGCGGTACGCCCACCGCGCCAAGTCCATCCTCAACAAGCCGACAGTGAACGAGGACCGCAACGTGCAGTTGATCCGCGAGCTGCGGCAGGAGATTGCCCGACTGAGGGCGCTCATCGAGGGCGCTGGAGAGGTCAGTATCCGGGCGGCGGGCACTCGTTGAGGGCGCCGGAGAGGTCAGTATTAGAGATGTCAATCGGATACCAACTTTTTGGTATACCGATACCAAACCGATACCAACTTGGTATTTGGTATTTCAATCCTAGTGTGTTTGGTATTTTGTTGGTATTATGAACCCTTACTAATGTATAAGAGGCTCAGAAATTGGTAAAAAGTTGGTATTTCCCTCATCTTTCAAAGTTGGTTCGGTTTCGGTATTTTCCCACGGGTTTGGTTGGTATTTGGTTTGGTATCGGTATTCCGATTTTCTGTAATTGACATCACTAGTCAGTATATAGCGGGCGGGGTGGTACTGAGGGAGGGGCGGTGCCGGGTAGGCTAGGCTAGACGGTGCCGGAAAAGTTAGTATGTGAACAATCACGCTACTGACGATTAGATGATCCTCAGATGTTCACAGTGTCAGGAGAGGTCACTTTTGGCACAATACTTCGTTTACGGGTCGTTTGGACTGGGAGTGCTTGGAGCCGTAGAGGGCGCTCCTGTACAAGTGATAGCGATGCTTGTTGAGAACAGTAACTACAGAGAGCGATGCATCGGCGTTATAGAGGTCGCTGAGGTAGGGAGGCTGCTTAATGCCCGTCGCATGGCTGCTCTGAGTCTGTCAGGTTTGTTTAAATCTTCCCGGGACATCGGTGTATTATCAAGTGGAAGCTGTTGAATCCGCTCTCCGATTTCGATCAATCACACGCGATGTGAAATTGTTGTTGGTTGAGGGTCCATAGCAATTACCTTTCCTTCTCAGGAGTATCAATATTATTCAGCGATGATTGTAGAAGCGTAAAAATTGTTTTTGATATCGGCACCCGTGGTGAAACAATGCGTGCTTAGCGGCAGCATATTTATCGATATATTAGACATTTGTATTTGTAGTTTAACACGATGTCCACCAGATTGATAATTTCATATAATATTATGTGCGAGGTGGCGCGTTTTGGTCGTAGTTCCTAATGCTATTTGCTGCTGCAATCGCAGAAACTCACACTGCATATTGTGTGCAGAGCACGTTACCGGGAAGCAGGTTCCGGGTGTTATATAACGGCGTGAAGCTCCAGATTGAGACGACTCAGGATGCCCGTGACTTGAATAAGCCGACATTCGAACTGCGCGACGGCGTGTGAATGTTTCAGGGCGCAGCGTGAAAATGTTCGCATGCTTGTTCCCAAACTGCGAGGTGAAGTATCCATGCTGTGATGTTCGTGAACTTTATGCTCCGTGACATGAGCATTGTTGTAGTTGGCTCTGCGAGCTTTACGGTAGTGCTTCATGCTCCGGTATATTTGGGTAACTAAGCTAACCAGTCCCTCTCCCAGGTAACCGTGGACTAGGGAGCATACTTTTAAAAATATCACAACCGCACCGCTTCTCTTCACCTGCAGCTCCCACGGACTGGAGCTGACTGAAAAAGAAACTCATCCCTCCCCATAGTAGGTGACTGGCTCTGACCTGACGCGTCTGTGTCCTCTCCACGGTCGTCCCGGGCCCTGACCTGCCCCTATCCTATTTTAGCCGCCTCGGGCTATGATCCGCCCTGTCCACAGCACCCTCAGACCCTGAATTTGATAGACCCTCTCTACCTTCCCACATTCCCCGCGGGCCCGGGAGCTGATGGACCCTCTCTACTTTTCCACAGTCGCCTCGGGCGCTGGAGTTGATACAAGAGAAGGAGGCCCGGGCGGACGAGATGACCAACCAGTGGATGGAGGGCTGGCGGGAGACACAGAAGATCCTTCAGGAGCAGCAGACACTCGGACTGAGAAAGTCGGGAGGTGAGAGGACGCACGACAGCAGCCAATGACAGTCGGAGTAATCTACTTTTTGGATGTGTCGTGAACGTCGTTTGGTCGATTGGAAGATATGATGAGGCAGAGTAATGTCATCAACTCCCACGCATGCTCTTCTTACATTCTCGTAATGTGACTCAGTACTTTGAGGTTTAGATGAGAATATTTTGTTGGAATCCTAAGAAACGTTGCATCACGGGATTCTCGTAATTGAAACTGTGTCTGAGGACCTAAGGCTTAGACTGTATAAAAGGAGATGTAAACCGCCGTGAGTGACATTGGTTGCTTCACATTGTTCCAAAAAGTTAGCACAATAGTATGAACTTAAGGCCCCGCATAAATACGTGACTCGTTGAATCTTCCATATGGATGCATGCCATCGTCGAATTCAATTCTGGCCCAGGCTAACAGTCTAGTCAAAACCTCCAAAATAGATCGGCGCTCCGCCTGGTTCGTGGCGCTCGCTAGCGGCGTAAATCATCGTTTTATTTTCATTGTCTCCGAACGTCGCCCGTTTTCCGTGCAGTGCAGTGCTCTGAACTAGCGGCTCTCGGCGGGCCCATTCAGCGGACCGCTTTGTTCCTCGGTTCCAGCTCGTCTCATTATCTTGGGAAGGGCTGTGCTGGGACGAGCTTCATTGGGTCCCCGGTGACGCAATTTCCTGGGATTGGGGAAGCAGGGAGGGGAGGCGTGGGACTAGTCGGGGACGCAGCCTCCAACACGCCAGCAGCTTCACTCAGTCAATCTCCAAGCTCTGGAAGCTCCCGATGCCGTCCCTCTGTAGTGGTGGTGGTGGGAGTGGGGGGGGGGGAGATGTGGGACCGGTTGGGCACAGAGCCCCCAACACGCCAGCTTCACTCAGCTGATCGCCTAGCCTCGGGGGATCCGCCAACCCATTGTCGGAGCTCCGGACCACTGGTAAAATGAAATAGAGGATGCTTTTAGGTGTATTGCTGCCCAGTCCCGGCTGTATGTCGCAGATGGAGAAACTGAGCTGTGTGGATTCAGGAAGGATTGGCAACCGGACCTTACAAAGGACGTCAAAACCATATGCTTTGTTCCTTTTGATTATATTGTTACATTTGTTATCGCTTTGAAGTCGTTTTTCAGTTGCTCAATTTTACAACGAAATAGAAACTTAACCTTCATTTCTGATTGCTTTATTTCCTCTGCTGTACCATCGTTTTTACTGTAGCCATAACTGAAGTATCGAGCGAACATATGTCGGGATCCGTGACAGTGCAATAGGGCTGTCAGCAGCCGTCCTGTTGGCGTTTTGAGCACGTCAGGCGGGTGTGCAGCTGGTGACTGTCGATGAGGTTCTATTGGGACCCCGACCGATCGCCGGACTGACTGGGATTGTAATATGTTATCCGTGATCCGTGTTCCGTGATCCGAGGCTCGTGATCCGTGATTGATGGCGGTAATCCTGACCATGATCGTCTCTGTGGTCCACACCAAGAATGCTTCGTTTCTATTGCTGAAACTGCACTCATCATTTTGTTCCATTGTCACGATGCAAACCCGTCACGTTCATTCGTGATTGTGATTCAGTACCGTGAACCATAACCAGGACTGGGTGTGGGTCCGGTCCTTCTGTGGCAATTCATTGGGCACCATGATCATAATCGGTTGCTGTTTTTGTTCACCATTGTGACCGTGACTCATGCCGTGATCATGACTCGTAACCCATTATCTGCGGAAGCGGCCATGACCCTTTCCTATGACTTAGCGCTATAATTCGTGTACATTGTACACTCCGTGACCTTGTAACATGATTGCGACTTTGATCTTTAACCCAGGACCGTCACCCATGATCCATGACCGCAACCCGTGTCTAAGACACTGAAACATGCTCCTGGGCTCTATTGACTATCAGACTGTGATTGATTATCGATGGGACGGTCACTGCGGTAATGTGTGCGACTCTGGTCCGGTCAGTGTCCATTTGTCACTGTCAGCGGACTGCTGGCCGTTATAGCTGTGTGGTTGCGAGTCTGCTTAAGACACTGAGGATGGTGTGTCTGTGTCTCAAATGACGTTTGTAGACACTGTCTGCGTCTACGTCAGTGCCTGAAATCACGTCTGAAGCAGTGACTGTTTTTGTGTGGGCAGTGACCGTCTGAGCAGTTACTTGAGATCATGCCTTGAGGCGCTGCTGGTGTCTATAGGCGCGGCTGTAGGGGCGTGACTGCGACTGACTGGGGCGTTCTATAGGCGCGGCTGTACGGGCGTGACTGCGACTGACTGGGGCGTATTCCTTTCAGTGGGCGTGGTGCTGGACTCGGACCGCCCTCACCTCATTGGTATTGACGACGACCTGACTAGCACGGGCATCACGCTCTACCAGCTGAAGGTAAGGAATCAGCTGCAGTTAGCGTTGCGCATTAAATCCCCTGATAATACGGGGAAGCAAACTGGCCAGTACGGGCAATATTCTACCAGCTTGTGGTAAGTGACAGTCATCACCACAGCGCGAGCCCTCTGGTAGTTCAAGACTGAGGAACGGTGCTTCAAATGATCACACCGGGGATGGCACTTTACTTACCAAATAAGGCGAAAGGGTCTTATTCCACTCTGGGTGGAACCCTCTGCTTGAAACCTCTGGTAATGCAAGACTGTGGATTGTGGAGTGTGGAATGATGATCGAAGTGATCACACTGGCAATGACACTTTACCAAGACAAGGTCAGAAATTCATTTCATTCCGCCTTGGACCCCCGGTAATGTAAAACACTTTCCTTGAAATTCGTCTGCACCAGCCATACCCTAGAAACCTATCTCCCTGTGGTATATTGGCTCTGGCCGGGTCTGGACGGCACGGGTAGCATTCCGCTGGGACGGCCGGCCGGCCAACCACGGCCAATCTGTTGGCTGGGCGGACATGTCTGCAGCTCACGGCACGTGTAGCGAGCCGCCCGGGCCGCCGCACCCGCTCGGCCGGAACTCGTAAATCGTGCGCCGGTCAGTAGCCAGCAATAGGTCGGGTCGGTGTGCCCGCCGGACCGACAGCCGGACAGGTATTTGTGGCGAGCGGGGACTGGGGAGTGAGAATGGCGGCGTGTGGCTTATTTGTAGCTAGCCGGGAAGATTAAGTGTGACACTGTTTTGTAGCGAGCCGGAAGGACTGTATGGTGGTGTGCAGATTATTTGTAGGTAGCTGCGAGGGCTGGGTGTGACGCTCTTTTGTGACGAGCCGGGAGGACTGGGTATGATGGCGTGCGGCTTATTTCTTATGAGCTGGGGAGGCCTGATGGTGGCGGATTGGTATTAAAGTCTTCCTGACGACTACCAGGGAGTCTCTGCGGACCATGCCATATGTTGATCGCGACTTTTGCGTTTTTTTTTTTTTCTGAAGTGTGAGAAATTTATGCAATATCTACCATCAAAACCGTAGGCGGCTTGGCTGCAGCATGCGAGGACTTAATATATCTGGAACGTTTTCATAAATCGTTTCCATTCGGCCCCAAATTAAAACCATAATTTAGCGACATCTCCTTATGGACTTGCCGATAGTCTCAGCTTCGCCAGAACTCGCCGCCGGAAAATAATGTAATCTGGCTTCGTTTGAAATTAGCGCTCTGTTGATGTGATCCAATCAGTATATATGACCGACTCGAATTACCGGCTTTCGGCTGGGTCCCATCCGGGCATGTCCCAATAAGGAGAAACATGCGCATTTATCGCATGGATGTGAGCGAATTCTTCCTCATCCCATTTGCCTGTCCTTGCATTTGTATGGAAGTTGTATGAAATGGCTATGCTGTTTGCCCTGATGAGTAGCAATGGCTCGTGATCAACAGACGAACTAAAAATCATTTTGGGAATGCGTGGTGCCTTCCTCTGATAGCTACGCGAACAAAATCACAAGTTTACTGGCGTTTCTCTGTAGATCGTGTCACTCGTAGCTCGCAAACGCTGTTTTTTTCTGAACTGGGAGAAATTGACGTTAGTATCCAGCGGATTAACTTCACGCCTGACTTTGTTCATGATACTGATGTATCCCGCCGCCCGGCAACCGCGGCTGGCTGATGGGGTTCACTTTAGGCCTTCGAACTACTTTATGACTTAGATACTCTAAAACTGCCCATTCAATCGGCCATTGCACCTAATAATGGTGATTAAGACCGCGCCTGTGGGAGAGGCGTTAGCGACAACTTGCATGTGTGCGTCTGGCTAGTATGCGATGTGCGCATTCATAGTGCGGCGGGACGACGCTATGTGAGCTGTGCCAGGGCAGACGACGGGGGTGGTACGTGCCAATCGGGTCCTTTGAGACATACGCCCCCGGTCGGTGGTGAGTGAATACATTCATTCGCGTGGACAATGCTGCCCAGGTGAATCAGCCGTGGACAACTCAGTGGTGTTACTGGGCCCTAGAAATAGACTGCTTGTCTGTTGCTAAGCTGGTTTGCTGATTGGAATAGTTCTACCCTGTTCAAATCCTATGTTTAGCTTCACAGAGGTCACAAAGTTCTGACTAGTGCCGTCGTTCGGCTGATTGACGTCGGTTAAATGCATCTCGGAGATGGTCTATGCATTGATCGCCGTTGACTGCCATTCCGCTGGGCTTCTCTCTACGGCCATCCCGTGCAGTGTCTCAATCAGTGGCTGGAATGAGTTCGGGTCTCCATGGCTGTCCGCTCGATATACCTCAGCGGCACGGGCCGTTTGGGTCGCGGTAATGTCGCGGAGACCCGTTATACCGTTCGATATGACCATGGCCGCACAGAGTCGATCCACCGAGCTCGCTGTTCCGGCCGACCCCCGAGATTGCACGACCGCATCATGGCCGCGGCGGGCCGGCGACTTAATTAACGCCGCGCTCGGACGGAACGTCTTCATACGGCCGGCGGCGGGCGGCACGTCAGGATGACGGATTGATGCCGGTGTGACGCCGAGTTGCGGGCGGCGGGCACGTCAGGATGACGTATTGATGCCGGTGTGACGCCGAGCTGCTGCAGGCGGACACATCAGGATGACGTATTGATGCCGGTGTGACGCCGAGTTGCGGGCGGCGGGCACATCAGGATGACGTATTGATGCCGGTGTGACGCCGAGTTGCGGGCGGCGGGCACGTCAGGATGACGTATTGATGCCGGTGTGACGCCGAGTTGCGGGCGGCGGGCACATCAGGATGACGTATTGATGCCGGTGTGACGCCGAGTTGCGGGCGGCGGGCACGTCAGGATGACGTATTGATGCCGGTGTGACGCCGTGGTTTGCTGGGGAGCGGTGATACGGCTTCAGTGGCTCCCTGTAACCTCCCTGCTGCAGACAATCCGGGTCAGCACCTGGCTTGTTCTATGATTGCCCGTGAACAAACGAACAACGGACAATACACGGCTCTTGGCTAATGTCACAACGCTAAAAGTCACTGACATAAGCAATCTAACGAGATTATTATATGTCAAAAGGCCAGTGCGAAAACTGAAATGCTGCACGGAGCGTAATGAGTTTTCTGCTCACAAAAAGTCTGGTTTTCTGCTGACAAAGGATCACAGCAACGACCTCCGGTGTCATTGACACGTCTGCTCGATTTTATAGATTTCGCTTGTCACCACGTCGGCAGAAGGATGACCGCTGTCGGCCAGAAGCAGGTTTCCTCTGAATCTGTAGGCCTCTGGTGAACTAGCACGGTTAAGTCGGTGCCCGACTTCGTCTCCGGGCCACGCAGGATCGCAGCCCTTCAACTCAACGGGGCACGTGCTGACAATATCGGCCCAGCGCGTGACCGAGGCGCTCGTAATCTTTGGCCAGTGAGCGGATAACTGTGGATTAAACGCTTTATCCCGTGTAGCAAGTGCTGGGTAGAACTGGCACTCTGTTTCAGGCGGACGGGGAGCGACTGGGCAGCGTGCCCTGTTGTTGAATCGCGCCCGAGTGGCTGGTCCAGAAGGTCAAGGTCTGACCCATAAACCAGTAAGCTTCCATCTGTGATCAGTGGCAGTGTCGCTATAACCTGCTCAAGTGTTCTTTCAGAGGAACGATGTCCGCCCTTGTCGGCTGGGTACCTCAAGTTAGATTACGGCTTTTGGATGCTTTACGAAGTGCACGCCAGGCGTATCGATTAAATATGACTAGTGCTGAGAGCTGAGGGCATTCCACGCGGCAATACATAAAGTTCAATTAATTTTTTACCGATTGAACGGTGCGGTGGTATAAAACGGTTGGTAATGGACGAGGAGGTAACTATGTGGTTTCATTGGCTTAGAGTGGATTGGTCAGATTGGTTGGATGCTTGGATTTCGGGGACCTGGCGCATTGGAGGCTGGCAGAGCTCAGTTCAGCTTTCTCAGATCAGCTCCTGCTCAGCTATCTCAGATGAGCTCAGGCTAGTTTAGCTCAGCTGTGTCAGTCGTTCATTCTAGTTCAGCTCAGCTAAGATCAGATTTGGCTGAGTTCAGTGCAAATAAGACAAGAGCACGGCTTGCATCATGAGAGCGCACTCGTTTCTTGCAGGTGGAACGGTGCCAGCGTCGAAACGCTGCAATAGCGGATTGGGCTTCAGAAGTATTCTGAGAGAGTTAGACGCTCAGCGCACATTACGTTGTACACTTGTCATATTAATGCTTTCTTACAGGGTCTCAGAACCAACTTGTCGCCTTATTGACTTAGGTCTGTCATTGATTATTCGGCCACACCTCTGGGAAAATCTTTGTAGCTGGTAGATGATAATCCGCTAAGGTGTCTGGTAATAAACTGTTATCCCTGTTGTTAACGAGGGACACTAAGCCATGCTTCTTCATTAACACTTTGATTGAAATACTGCTATCCACATCGATGTTCAATAAATTGTAGGAAACGTTCATAGAGCGTGCAATGTGCATGTAGCGGAATGCATAAAATCCACACATGTTAGGCGTATTCAATTTAGCAGTAGTCATTGCGCATTGCCGCCATTACAGTGGACTGCAAACTAACTACATGCTTCTGTTGATTAACCTAATTAATTATCGCTGTGTCAGTAGCTACTGGCTGCGCTGCAGGACTTATTGGTTGCATAAGAGTCTCTGCAACTGCCCAGCTACTAGCTACTTTAGCACTAGCTGAAGTGGCGTGGCTTGGAATGCTGTTTGCTACTTAGGTCACGTACCGCCCGTATTTCAAAGCAGCAGGCTCCTGCAGTCTGCTCCAATAGCTCAGTCGGGCAGAGCTCTGAACTGTTAGGCTGATCGCCAGCGAGGCTGGGCTCCAGTCGTTTTGGCGGGCACTTTTTTGATGGGGTCTAGTGAGTAGTGAGTAGCAGCGATGGTGCTTCAGGGCTGATAGAATAAATTAGTTTTTGTTCGCCCCGACTTTTAGACGCATTGGCGGGGGTGCAGTGAGAAGGTGTAGTGAGCATATGTATTGGACT